CCAGCTTCCCCAGGGTCAATCTGAAGTCACTCCTGTTTGCAATGGGGTCAGAGCTGAATCTGAGCTCAGCTTCCCCAGGGTCAATCCGGGTCACTCCTGTTCGCAATGGGGTCAGGACTTTGGATCTCAGTCCTGTCCCCCACCCCCGAAGCCAGAGTCACTCCTGTTCGCAATGGGGTCAGGGCGGGATTCTGATCTTAGCTCCCCCCGGGTCCATCCGGAGTCACTCCGACTGCACTGGGAGGAGGGGGCTGGAAGGGGAGCTGCTGGGGGGCGGGGTGCTGAATGTATATGAGTCTCTATCCATATAGAGACGCGGCAGCCGCAGAGTTTGCTTGCCTCTAAAACTACTCACAACAGACACGGTCTGTGTCCCCTGGGGTGGGGGAGCCCCTCCCCCACTGCAGGCCCCTTCCTGGGGCCCCATCCTCCTCAACCCCCTTCTCTAACCCTTTACTTGCCCCCCAAAAAACCTTCCACGGGAAGGACTTTTTTGTTTGCCCCCCTGGCTTCCTCCAGCATCATGCTCCCCCAAACCTTTCTCCGCAGCTAATGTTATGACACCCCCCCTTGGATCTCCGGTGCCGCTCCCTGCACCCCACTTTGCAGCCCCCCACTCCTCATGGATTTTCTTCTCTTCTTCAGGGATACATTTTTCTTCTTCCCTTTTTTCCCTTCCTTTTTTTTTTTTTCACCACCCGGCCCCCCTCCCCCCCGCCCGAGGGGGGCCCTCTGCCCATGGATCCCCCCCCCCCACATCAATTCTCACCCCACCTTATGGAGGTACCCCGACATTTGAACTGGATACAGGTGGAGCATATCAGGGGCTTTCTTGCTAAGAGGTTTTTGGGGTGTCATCCCCCCGGGTCCCCCCAATTCCCCCCCATAAACTGTTTCCCGATCTCTCTGTCTAATAACAATGTTTCTCTTGTTCTCTTCACAGAAGAGGAGCGTCCCAAACCCAGGTAACTGCGGTACCCGTGAGGAGGGGGGTAAGATGGGGGATCCCCCACTTGCACCCACAAGTCAGAGCAGGGAACCCCACAACCTGGGCAGGAGTGCTGTCCCAATGCACTGAGCGACCCTGTAGACCCAGCCCCCGCGCTCCACCCCAGAGGGGCCGCATCTCAGCGCTGGGCAAGGGGTCCCCCTATACCCAGCCCCTGCACTCCACCCCAGAGGGGCTGCATCCCAGCGCCGGGCTAGGGGTCCCTGTGTGTCCCACCTCAGAGGAGCCGAGTCCCAGCGCCGGGCGGGGTCTGAACTTGTAACAGTCAAGCGTCAATCCCTTTCCTCTTTGTCATGTTTCTTATCCCTCCTCCCCGCCCCCCTGCAGCAGGCCGGTGGTTCCCCAGCTGGCCCCCCCGAAGATCCCCGATGGGGAGAGAGTGGACTTTGATGTGAGTATCGTAAGAAAGACCCTGCTGGGCTGCAGGGGGCGGGGCGGGGGCTCGGCAGGGGGCACTGGGCTGTGGGGGACCAGGCGCTCAGCGGGGGGGCGCTATGTTGCAGGTACCCATGTGGGGTGCCCCCCAGCTCACACGCTCTCTCCGCCCCCCAGGACATTCACCGCAAGCGCATGGAGAAGGACCTGCTGGAGCTGCAGACGCTCATCGACGTGCACTTCGAGCAGAGGAAGAAGGAGGAGGAGGAGCTCATCGGCTTGATGGAGAGAATTGTGGGTCCTGGGGCGCACGGGGGGGATTTTGGGTACATAGGGCCGGGCAGGGGATTGTGGATGGGGGGGCGCGTGCCAGGTGGATTGTGGGTATGGGGGGCAGGGGATTGTGGGTACTGGGGGCATCCCAGGCGGATTGTTGGTACAAGGGGCAGGGCAGGGAATTGTGGGTATGGGGGGCAGGACAGGGGATTGTAGGTACTGGGGGGGGCGTGCCAGGTGGATTGTGGGTACCGGGGAGGGTGCCAGGCGGATTGTGGGTGTGGCAGACAGGGAAGCGGATCGTGGGTTCCAGGGAAGAGGTGGGGCCGGCCGGGGGCCGCTGTGGGTGGCCGGCCATGCTCTGACCCGTCCCCGGGCCCTCGGCAGGAGCGCCGTCGAGCGGAACGGAACGAGCAGGTGCGGTTCCGGACCGAGAAGGAGCGGGAACGCCAGGCCAAGCTAGCTGTGAGTTCCCCCACATCCCCCCATCCTGGGCTGGGGGGGTCATCCCCTCCAGTCTGTACCCCCCCAGCCGCACGGCTGACAGCTCTGCTCCCCCCCCCATGCAGGAAGAGAAGCTGCGCAAGGAGGAGGAGGAGGCCAAGAAACGGGCCGAAGACGACGCCAAGAAGAAGAAGGTTCTGTCCACCATGCCGCATTTTGGCGGCTATCTGGTCAAGGTGAGGGGGGAGTCAGGGAGCGGGGGGGAGCTGGGGGGAGAGAGGTTGGACAGGGATATTGGATGGGGGGGCGCTGTGCTGCAGGGATCAGGGTGTGGACTCAGGGCTGCAGTATGGGGAGTGGTCTGAAAATCACCAGCTGCCCTGCCCCAGAGGCAGCCGCATCTCAGCGCCGGGTGAGGGGTCCCACTATAACCAGCCCCCTGAGCCCCACCCCAGAGGGCCCGGCTCTGGAGGGAGCCTGTGTTGACGTGACCCCCGTGCCCTGTTTGCCAGGCCGAGCAGAAGCGGGGCAAGCGGCAGACGGGGCGGGAGATGAAGAACCGGATCTTGGCCGAGCGACGGAAGCCCCTAAACATCGATAGCATGCGGGAGGATGAGCTGAGGTACGGGGGGGGAGAGGGAGCACTCAGGGGACTTCATTTCCCATAATGCTCTGTGCTTGACTCCCATTTCCCATGATCCCTTGGGGTTAGCAACCATGGCTACCCCTTGGCCATCTATGGTCCCATTTCCCATGATGCTCTGCACTTGGTTCTCATTTCCGATAACCCCTTGAGGTTAGGAACCCAATCCGCTACTTTGGTCATCTGTGTCCATTTCCCATGATGCTCTGCTCTTTGTTCCCATTTCCCATGATCCCCTGGGGTTAGCAACCATTGCTACCCTGGCCATCTATGCCCTCATTTCCCATGATGCTCTGCGCTTTGTTCCCATGAGCCCCTGGGGCTAGCAAGCACCGCTACCTCGCGTGGAGCATGCCTCCCGTTTCCCGGGGCGCTCTGGGTACGAGCGGCCCTTGCTGGGCGGGGAGCTGACGAGCAGCCGCCCCGATCCTGACAGCGCCTCCTTCTGGCCCCACAGGGAGAAGGCCAAGGAGCTGCACGACTGGATCCACCAGCTGGAGTCGGAGAAGTTTGACCTGATGGAGAAACTCAAGCGCCAGAAATACGAGGTGAGAGAACGGGGCAGGGGAGCCTTTCCCCTCCAGGGGGCGGCGGCTCCCATCCAGCCCCGGGGTGGGGCATTGGCTGGCTCCCGGGGGGTGGGGTGGGGAGGGTAAACTGAGGCTGGCCCAGCTGGGTAATAACTGGTTCTTCCTCCCCTTTGCAGATTAACATCCTTTACAACAGCATCAGCCATGCCCAGAAATTGTGAGTAGCCACCGCAGTACCCATCTCCCCTGCTTGGGACGGGGGGTTGGGGTCCTGGTCCAGAGACCGACCCCCCCGAAATCCTTCTCCCCCCTCCCAGCCCCCCGGGGGGGGCAGCGCTGGGCCGTGGGGGAGGGGGCTG